TGATTCGTTGAAAACCACAGAATTATTACAGAATTCATACTCTGTTTGTCTCGCATTCCGGAGAATAAATTTTTCATTTAAATATGGATTTGGTATACATTTGTGTAATTTATTGAACACTTTGTAAACACAATCCCAGTAGCAATTTGTATACGAATCTGTTTTGGAAAATTAAGTTATACGTATCATAAAATAATTTTATGCAATAACTGTGATAATATTTATAAAAATATAAATTATTTATTTACATATTTTATCATCCTATTATCATTCTATATGCTATTTGATCAAAATAGTTTATATCTGTATTTTATGTTTAATAGAATATTTATAACCACAATTCTAACATGAAAAATGTAGTTTATAGGATCGTTAGGCTCCTCACATTTTAATCTATTATTTCTCACTGAATATTAATGTTAGATAATTTGTAAAATAACAATTGATTTATTAATAACAATACCTGAATTGTGTCGACAGTATTGCATATATCCACACCTGTTAGCCAAGTGTATTCACAACATATATAATTAGGAGCGTAATTACGGAACACTCGGTATCTTAAGTGCCGTCCTTTTCGTTGCCATCAATTCATTAGACATTTGATCCACGAATACATATAATACTAGGTATTCATCAAATGTCATAACTTTGCTGTTTAAAAGTTGTTGAAGATTTAGAAAGTAACTTTTATTATGTTGAATATCTAAATAAGTTTCAGTTAATAAAAAGTGTTTTTGATTTTCATAAGAGATGCGAAACTCAACGAAATGGTCGTCAATGAGAGAGAAATGATTAGTATTTCCGTCGTTTGAGAAGTACTTAAAACAAACGCCAAAGTCTTTCGTACCGTAAATACTGTGCAAAACAGTGTTGTCGTCATTAGAGACACATTTATCGGACACTCTGTACTCATTGTTGTATTTTATGCCCACTTTTGCTGAACAGTTAATCAATTCGTTGCCATTAATTGAGAATCGATTGAATAAATCAATGAACGAATAGTTGGCAAACATTTGCGGCAAATAATTGTCATAAAAATGATTTAAATAATAATTTTCAACAAACGATGTTTTATAACAAACAAACGGTAATTTATATTCTGGTATTTGTATATTACATTTTGCATTTACCATGTCTTTTTCTTTAATTTTTGCTTTTTGTGTAAACAACTCGTATTCACGGCTTAATCCAAATTCCTTATTAATCTTTGTTTTGTCAAAAAACACATCTTTTTCCGTACAGATTGTAATCTCTGGTAAAAGCAAACCATTGCTCGGCTTTACGTTAACGCTATAGACGTTGGGATAACTGAAGTAATATGTTGTAAATTCTATGAGACCATAAGATAACACACAAAAACATATAAATTTTGTTATTAATTTAAGTATTAATTCATAACTTATGTTATATTGAGTTTTAATTGAATAAATGAGATAATAAACAGACAATAAATTAAATGAAATAAATTTATATATTCTAATAAAATACACAATTAATGAATTAAGGTAATACGAAATTATATCAAAAAACATAATTAATTGATTAACGAGATATGAAATTATATTGAAACACATAATTAACTTTTTTAATGTTTCTAAACTTTTATTATTACAGTTTTTAACGAGCTTTATCTTTAAACAAAAGTCAAGAATAACTTTATTTAAGTATTTATTATTTGGGCTATGTTAAAGTATTTCCATAGTGATATTTATAATAATAATATTTTGATGTATTTTATAATAGCCTGTAACATAGAATATATAATTCATGATTTAATTTTATCATCATTACAATTGCTATTTTTAATATAATTCACCTTTAAACAATAGAGTCAATGCATATTTATTATTTAACCCTTAAAGCTTAAACTATAATTATAAACGTTGTAAATAAACTGGGAAACTAATCTCCCAACAGTTAGTGCATAAACTGGGAGATTAATATCCCACGCTTTAGTGCTGTTTATGCTGGGAGATTATTCTCCCAGTTTATGCAGTTTAATGCTGGGAGATTAATCTCCCAGTTTATGCAATAAGTGCAGAATAAAATTAGCACTATTTATACTGCATGAAAAGAGTTACATTAAGCATAAACTGGGAGAATAATTACCAAAACTTTAAATTAACCATGATAATTAATTAACTATACAATTTATAACCATATAATTTTACAAATTTTTAAACCTAACAATTTATGAGGCATTACTGAATTTTCTTCTGGCTAGCACTTTTTGTTGATTTTTAATTGAAATTCAAAGTGCAAATGGGAAACTAATCTCCCAGTTTAAGCTTCTAGGGTTAAGCAGTCTAAATATTTAATATAAAAATTTTAATTATAGTTTGTAATATTACTGTAAATATTTAATTGCAAATAAAGGTTTGAAAACAATTTATTATGATATATCGATTTTGTCGCAATAAGTTTATTTTATTGAAAAGTATTATTCTATTATTTATTTAATTTAATAATATTGATCTACTTATAAAAATGATTAATTAGCACAGAACTTGAGGCCTCATTAATTGCTTTTTCAAATAATAATTTGTAGCAATTTTTTAAAATTTAGGATTCACCCTCGCCTGTAACCTTGACCAACCACTTCTATCCTTGACCATCGAGGTTAATCTTGCCCAGTTGGAAACATTCTCTATACATTTAAAATTTTTAATATTATTTTATTAATGTATTATTATTAAATAAATTATTTTATAGATTTTCCTAGAACATAAATATGAATAAAATTTAATAATTAATTAACTGTACCTGATTTAGTATATATTATAAAATAATTATTTAGTATTATGTATGCTTTAGCAACTTGGTAATTTAATGAACCAACGCAATATATTTTAATGGAAAAAGTGAGTATGTTTGTTGATGTCAAATAAATCCAAATAATCTTGATAACTATATTTATTGGTACAAATAATGAAATATATAATTGAACCATGATCGCATTGCCATAAATAAACCAAACTATACAATAATATTTTGACCAATAAGTAGTATTGTATTCATTGATTTCTGCATAAATACTATTCAACGATGTAATTATATGTTGAATATTATGTGAATTAATTGACAACTTATATATAGACTCGTAAACTGACGTTAATTTTAATTTTAAATAATAAGTAAGTAAATAAAAATATACTAATTGCCATATGACAAATGAAAACGATCGGTGTATTATATACCCGAGCAGTAGCCCATTGGGAATGCCGTATAATAGCGCCGGTAGTATTGGTTTAAATACGATAAAAGTTACCATGATCAATAGTATACCTTGCAGTGGTAGAGGGTCTAGGTTCTGTTTGGTATATTTAAACAACAATCTTGATGTTTTAATTAATTTCTGGACAGATTGCGGATCCGTTAGACCGACACTATAGGGGGTAACCATACCTGACATCATAGCAAACACTCGGAGAAATGTCGGTTCAATACCGCGCCAGTAGTTATAGTAATAAGTGGCCATGGTGCTAAGCATAAACATCATGATGGAAATAATGAATAGTTTTGTATGAAATCCACCGCCAATTAACTCGGAATAATCGCCAAATACATAGACAAATGTTTCATTTGATCCGTTATAATACAAACAAATTAAATTGCCGCAGGTATAATATAACACTAGTAGTGTTATTACTAATGGGTGTGAGTACCATGGTCGCTTTGTGCCTATTCTAGGTTCATGCAATGATAAGCCAATTTTATACAGTAAATTCTCTGCTGATTGTATTTGCAATTCTTGAGGCAATAATGCATTGAATTGAATTCTACTCATATTAAATATAATCAAATATATACTAACTTATTAATATTATCTGCACAAGATGAGAGTTTTATAAGACTAGCATTTAAATAATAAATTTTTAATATATTTATAAACAAAAATTTAAATATATTCTGTTTAATTACAATACAGGATACTATTAGTTAAAATATCGAGATTATAAAACTTTTATAGTTTTTGAAAAAAATTTAAGATTCTGTATAAAAATCACGATTTATTATTGCGTTAATGTAAAATAATTAATGATTAATATGAATGGCTCATGTAAAATAGGTAATGGCATTTTTTGTATATGCCTTCTGTGTAATATGACTTTTAAAATCAATATATTTATAACTTTAATATAAAATATGATTTATGACTTGTTGATTTCTAAATATTGCACTAATTAGAAATTATAACTTTAATATGAATAACAAAATCATTCATTATTTAATGTTGTATATTTATAAATAAAGATACTGACTATACTCTGACAATAATTAATGATATATTTTATTTTAGTTATAATTTGAATCAAAAATATTTTTTCTACACAACAATAATTTTGAATTTTATATAGATAGTCATTAATTTTGTTTATAATTAATGCTAGTTAATTATGTATAACCATGGCAACGTTATTTATAAAACTAAATAAACAAAGTTATTGTATTTATAAACTTAATACCAAACTAGAAAATATTTATTTAAAATATACATAATTATTAACCGGGTGATATATTTATAAATAGACAATTATAGTTAATTTAATAGTTCTTAATAATTTAGTTTGAGTTTTAATTACATATAAAATACACAATAAAATATTATATTTATATAGAAATTAAGATAGTTTAATAATAACAATATCTAGTTAGTTTGAATAGGATTAAATAAAATATTATATTGAATTCTTAGAGGCTATGAGATTGTGTAATATCTTATAAGAAACACTTAAGTATAAACAATAATAACACCTGTGACATTTTCTTAATGAAATCATCAAGATCTTATCATATAGATTTTTAATTAGAAATAATATCAATTTCAAGAAAATAAAAGTCTATGTGAATAAGATAAATCATACAACTTATTTATAAATTACCTTGACATTAACTTTACAATACTAAAGTACATCAATTTCCAAGTATTGCCATCATAAATGATAACAATCATTGATAATTGTTTAATATATAAATCAGGTTGATACATCCAATAAAATTAATAAATATAAAATATATTAGCATAGTAACAAGTAACTAATTTTACGCAATAATGAATGCGCTATATGTATTTACGCTGATCTTCTGTCTAACATGTACGTATAAGTTATTATAATTAAATATCATGTATTATATTTACCTAGACTAATAATATATTAAATTAAATGACCAGGGACAGGAATAAAGAGCGATGGCGAATGTGGAGACTGGGACCTGTTCGCGGACGAGTACTACAACATATGCTACAAAATTGTGCCTGATCAATTGGCCGACTACGCTACCGCCGCGGCAGCTTGCCTGGCCATGGACGGCGCATCATTGCCAACTATACACACACAGGCACAGCAAAACTTTTTGACCAACCTGCTATTCACCAAGCACAAAATAACGGACGGTGTATGGGTAGACGCTAAAGTTAAAAGCAAAATACTGACCTGGGCAGATGGCACCACCGATGGCTTTAACAACTGGGTAGAGGGCAGACCTGTTGACGTTACTGATGTACAATGTGTGGAGACTGTTAATGATAGAGCACCTGATAATATGGGTAAATGGCTAGATAGTAATTGTGGCAAAAAGAACGCGGTGGTTTGCGAAAAAGTGGTTTTATGGTCACCCCAGAAAACTCAGCGTATGATTGCTGATGATCGCCGTATAATTCAGCATCCTTAATTTGTTTAATTATTTTTCTTAATACAATAAAACATATTTAAATGTTTGTTGATTAATCTAATGCATCTTGAGCGTTGATATAAAGAATTTTTAAATAAATTTTATAAAATTTCTAACTATATCATTTATAATTTTTATTTTTAAATTGAATTATTAATTGGCAATAAGTAAAACACATCTGTTTATAACGATTGAGTGCTCTGATCTAAAAATAAATAATTACCTCTTTTCAAGATAAACAATTAAATTGATCATGTAAATTTTAAAATTTAAGTTTTATTAATTTTATTGACCCAATACATGGCACCTAATGAGACAATGTACATAAGGCAAGCAAGCTCAATACCATTCATTTATTAGGTTTTCCAACTGCAGTCCACTTGTCTGAAAAATAAGGTCATTATGGAAACCCAGATTTCCAAATAAAATTCTATAAATGTAAATGCAAACAATAAGGGGTTTATTAATTTTATTGGCCTAACACATGGAACTCAATAAAATAAACTGTATAAGGCAAGCAGTCTCAATAACATTAATTAATTAGGTTTTTCGACTGCAGTCCACTTGTCTGAAAATTGAGGTCACCATGGAAACCCAGATTTCGACATAAAATTCTATAAGTGTAAATGTAAACAATATAGATTTTATTAATTATATTGACTAAACTCATGGCACTTATAAAGACAAAGGTTATACAGCATGCAATCTAAATGATATTCATTTATTAGGTTTTCCGACTGCAATCTACTTGTCTGAAAATTGAGGTCACCATGGAAACCCAGATTTCGGCATAAAATTCTATAAGTGTAAATGCAAACAATAAGGGGTTTAGTAATTTTATTGGCCCAACACATGGAACTCAATAAAATAAACTGTATAAGGCAAGCAATCTCAATAACATTAATTTATTAAGTTTTTCGACTGCAGTCCACTTGTCTGAAAATTGAGGTCACTATTAAAACCCAGATTTCGATATAAAATTCTATAAGTGTAAATGTAAACAATATAGATTTTATTAATTTTATTGACGCAACTAATGGAACTTAATGAGACAAAGGAGATACAGCATGTAATCTAAATGATATTAATCATTTTATTTTGTTGACTTCAATCCACTTGTCTGAAAAATGAGGTCACCATGGAAACCCAGATTTCGACATAAAATTTTATAAGTGTAAATGTAAACAATAAGGGGTTTATTAATTTTATTGACCCAACACATGGCACTTAATGAGACAATGTACATAAGGCAAGCAAGCTCAATAACATTCATTTATTAGGTTTTCCGACTGCAGTCCACTTGTCTGAAAATTGAGGTCACCATTAAAACCTAGATTTTGAAATAAAATTCTATAAGTGTAAATGTAAACAATATAGATTTTATTAATTTTATTGACCGAACTCATGGCACTTAATGAGACAATAGAGATACAGCATGTAATCTAAATGATATTAATCATTTTAATTTTTTGACTTCAATCCACTTGTCTGAAAAATGAGGTCACCATGGAAACCCAGATTTCGAAATAAAATTCTATAAGTGTAAATGTCTACCAATAAGGGTTTTATTAATTTTATCTACGCAACAAATCGAACTTAATGAGACAAAGGAGATACAGCATGTAATCTAAATGATATTAATCATTTTAATTTGTTGACTGCAGTTTACTTGTTTGAAAAATGAGGTTACTGCATATTATTTATCACAGTTGTTTTAAAAATTGTTACCTTGGTTATAAATATATTTTAAAATAATAAAAATGATAAATATAAATTATAATAAAACATTTAATTCTAATCAAATATTATAAATATTAAATAATATTAATAGCATTATTAAAATAATAATCGTTATTTTTAAAATATTAATTAAAATAAATACCAATATTTGACTGTTGCAATTTCTTTATATATTTATCTCACGTAATAATTAACAGTAATTACATTAAAATGTATTGTTTTTAATAGCATTATGTAAGTTATCTATATATTTAACATTATTATTTCAATTAATTACAGTTTTTAAGATTTATTTTAATGATTCGCTTTATAAATTTATCAATTAATTAAAAATAAATCAAAATATTTAAATGAATTATATTTAAAATTAATTTTAATTAATTTTTAATCTACAAAACTAAAGGTTTGTTGTGTATTAAAAAGTATAAAGTGGCATGTTAATAATTTATTATAAATAAAATAGTAGATAACTTTACTCTTGTGATCATGTACTAATATAAAGTATTATATTAACAGAGATTATATTAACCATAAAACAAAATATGAATGTTTTTAGTAAATGCAATAAAATAATATTGATTAATATATTAAAATAAATTTACATAATTATCGTGTATTATAAGTAAAATTATTATGAAAATCCACACGATAACTCCAAATATTGTAACCCATTGCAATATTAAACCAACAAGTTCATTGCAACGTTCCAATTGCAAGTACCATAGCAAGAATTCGGGATTCAATTGATCTTCGTTTGATTTGATTTTTAACTCGTTGCTGGGCATAATTTTGACCATGGTTAATTTTTAGTTTAATTAATACTTACAAGTGTGATACAACAAAATAAAGAAATGCTTAAATTTTATATTAAAGTTAAATTTTTTAAAACAAATGTACGCATACTAAGATTTAGGTTAATGATGCAAAATACTTTTCTGCAATAATAATGTAGTGATATTTAAAATTTAGACTAATTTATCATGCTAAATGGTTTATATATTATAATAATAATTATTAATTCTTAAATTATGGATAAAAATATTTTTTCTAAATATTTTGCATAAACAATTATAATTAATAGTTGAGCAACATGCAAATATTTTAATATACAAGCAATTATTATTATTATTTTTAACATTGGTAATTTTAACATGATTATTATTTATGAATAAAAAGTTTAGAAATTTAATATAAATGTTTAAAATATTATTTTCAAAATATCATTATAAACTTATATCTAATTAAATAGTAAAATAAAATATAATTTAAACTTACCAGCATTATTATTTCTATAAAGTACTGGTTTAGCTTAATTCAATCATTCAGAGACAGACGCGCACCAGGTGTTTACATACAATGTACATACAATAAAACTTGATTATAAACAATAATAACACCTGTGACATTTATAAATAAGATTATCAAGATCTTATTACATGGACTTTTAATTAGAAATGTTATCAATTTCAAGAAAATAAAAGTCTATGTGAAAAAGATAAATCATATAACTTATTTATAAATTACCTTGACATTAACTATACAACAATACTGTTTATCATTTTCTAAGTATTGCCATCAAAAATGATAACAATCACTGATATCTGTTTAATATATAAATTAGCTCGATGCATTCAATAAAATTAATAAATATAAAATATATCAGCATAGTAACAATTAGTTTTACTTTATATAGTCAATTAGCAATAATGAATGCGTTATATGTATTTACGCTGATCTCCTGTCTAACATGTATGTATTAATTATTATTACTAAAGTATCTTGTATTATATTTAACTATCATAGACTAAAATATAACATTAAATTAAATGACTAGGGTCAGGAATAAAGAGCGACGGCGATTGCGGCGACTGGGACCTGTTCGCCGACGAGTACTACAACATATGCTACAAAATAGTACCTGATCAATTGGCCGACTACACTACCGCCGTGGCCGCGTGCCTGGCCATGGACGGCGCCTCACTGCCCACAATACACACGCAGGCGCAGCAAGACTTTTTGACCAACCTGCTATTCACCAAGCACAAAATAACGGACGGTGTATGGGTGGACGCTAAAGTTAAAAGCAAAATACTGACCTGGGCAGATGGCACCACCGATGGCTTTAACAACTGGGTAGAGGGCAGACCTATCGATGTTGTGGATGTTCAGTGCGTGGAGACTGTTAATGATAAGGCACCTGGTAATATGGGCAAATGGCTAGATAGTAATTGTGGCAAAAAGAACGCGGTGGTTTGCGAGAAAGTTGTTTTATGGTCGCCCCAGAAAACTCAGCGTATGATTGGTGACGATCGCCGTCTAATTAAAGCAGGCTTATTTTAAAAAGTAAATTGACAATGTCTGTATTTTTACATTCATTAACGTGTTTGTTTATTTAATGTTTGGTTTAATAAAATATTTTTAATTATGTCAGTTATTATATTAAAAAATTACGAAAAGTTTAATCATTTATTTTAGAACATTTAGTGTTATATAAATAAAAACTTGGTTTATGTTAACTTTAATTATTTAATGACATCTTATACTGTAAAATTAAAATTAATTAAACATTGTGAAATATAAAAATAATATTAATTATAGTTTTAATAATATTATTTAGTATAATTAATTCTTGCTAGTGCGCCTGATACGCGAATGCGGACGATATGTGTGATTTTATGGTAATTGATTAAAATATAAAAATCAAAAACATTTATATTAACTTTACGCCATGGCTTGGAATTAAGGTTTACCAAACGCATCCACTATTATAGCAATAAATGGCATAATGATCCCGCTGATAAATGCATACATAGTTATGCAATTTGATATGAAATAGGCAAATTGAAAATAACGATTTTGAACCAAGCGCAATGTGAACGGTACAGTTTGTGTGGTCCTGGTTCCAGTCGATTGATGCTCATGTACCTTGGTCGACTCTTGCCTTGCTTTATTGCGAACCATGATGAGAAGCTTGGTAAATTTTAGTTGTATTAAATTTGATTTCAAAATTTTTTTGAGTTAATAAAATTATAATTTTTTAAATATTTATAAATAAACTAATATATTAAAAATATTGCAAATAGTGTACAAAATAATGCTTGATAATTATATATGGGTTTCACTAAAATATAATATATCTTCCTTATTGTTACCTAGGTTATGAATTATATTTTTAAAATAATAACAAACATACTTTAAATGATTAATAGAAAATTTTATTTTAAATAAATATTATAAATATTAAATAATAATAATAATATCATTATTTTTAAATATTGATTAAAACAAATACCACCTATTGATACTTGTACCTAAATGTTTAATATTTTATCTATAAAAACTAGATTATTTATATTTTTAAGAGCGTAAACGAATTATACTTCAATTAAGTTTTATTAACCCTCAAAGCTTAAACTTATATAATAACGTTATAAATAAACTGGGATTGTAATGTCCCAGCAGTTAGTGCATAAACTGGGAGATTAATATTCCACGCTTTAGTGTGTGTTATGCTGGGAGATTTATCTCCCAGTTTATGCAGTTTACTGCTGGGAGATAAATCTCCCAGTTAATGCAATAAACACAGAAGATAATTAACACTATTTATACTGTGGGAAAAAAATTACATTACGCATAAACTGAAAAAATAATATCCCAAACGTTAATTTAACCACAATTTAACCATCATAATTTAATTTTATAATAATATAACTTTACATATTTATAAATCTAACTATTTGTGAGGCATTACTAAATTTTTTTTCAGCTAGCACTCTTTGTTGATTTTTAATTGAAATTCAAAGTGCAAATGGGAGACTAATCTCCCAGTTTAAGCTTCTAGGGTTAAAATAGTTTATTATTAACACTTAATAACTTATTACTAGATGTTGTTTAGAAAAACACTTTAATTTCCAATGAAATTAGGAGACTAGTCTATTAGAATAAATAAAATTGCTTATTTTATTTTACTTATATAGCTTTAAATCACTTGTCTGAAAAATGAAATCACCATTGAAGAACAGATTTTTAAATAAATTTTAAAAATAATAATTGTTTACATTGAGATTTCTATTAACTTTATTGTCCCAACTCATGGCACTAAATGAGGCAAAGGAGATACAGAAAGCAATCTCAATAACAAACATTCAACACATTTGTCAACTGCCGTCCACTTGTCTGAAAAATGAGATCACCATTGAAGGCCAGATATTTAAATTAAAGTTTATAAATTATCAATGTTAACATTGAGATTTTTATTAACTTAACTGACCCAACTCATGGCACTTAATAAAACAATCTGTACACGGTAAGCAATCTCAATAACAAGCAATCATCACATTAGGCAACTGCAATCCACTTGTCTGAAAAATGAGGTCACCATTGAAGAACAGATTTTTAAATAAGTTTTAAAAATAATAATTGTTTACATTGAGATTTCTATTAACTTTATTGTCTCAACTCATGGCACTAAATGAGGCAAAGGAGATACAGAAAGCAATCTTAATAACAAGCAATCATCACATTAGGCAACTGCAGTCCACTTGTCTGAAAAATGAGGTCACCATTGAAGAACAGATTTTTAAATAAATTTTAAAAATAATAATTGTTTACATTGAGATTTCTATTAACTTTATTGTCCCAACTTATGACACATAATAAAACAATCTGTTCACAGTAAGCAATTTCAATAACAAACATTCAACACATTTGTCAACTGCCGTCCACTTGTCTGAAAATTGAGGTCACCATTGAAACCATATTTTTTACACAATATTTCATAAATTATCAATGTTAACATTGAGGTTTTTATTAATTTAACTGACCCAACTCATGGCACTAAATGAGCCAAAGGAGATACAGAGAGCAATCGCAATAACAAGCATTAAACACATTAGTGAATTGCAGTCCACTTGTTTGACAAACGAAGTCACTATTAAAGTAAAGATTTTTAATTAAAATTTTATTAATTAGAGATGTTGACATTGAGGTTTAAATTAACTTTATTGTACCATCATATGACAGTTAATTAACCAAACTGTCCAAGGCAAGCAATCTCAATAACACGAATTTATCACATTAGTCAATTCCAACAAGTTCCAATGATCTTTCAAATGATTTTTATGTTTTATGTTAAGCTTATACATAGGGGATTAATTGGCATATAAGCCAATAAACAACCATAGTGTTGCGTAATGTCGTTTTATTGCCACAATACACAAAATAATTATTTTTAAAGATACGCGGGAAGGGTTAAAAGTATAATAAAAATAGTTCAAAAATTTTAAAATTTTTAAATTACTTATACGCATACTATGATATTGATTAACTTAATGCTATATTACATTTATTTATCATTATTAATTAGAATATATCATATTGTTTATCACTTTTGTTTTTAAAAATGGTTATCTAATTTATAAATATATTTTTTTACAAATGATAATAACAAATATAAATGATTAATAGAAAATTTTATTTTAAGTACATTATATAAATATTAATAAATAATTATAATACGATTAAAATAATTGTTATCATTATTTTTACAATATTAATTAAAAGAATTACCACTTTTTGACATATATTTGAAAAATAATTTAAATATTACATATTACAATGTTAGTTTTTGTTATAAAATATTTGGTGCAATATACTGTAAATTAAATAACAGAGTGTTGATTTAATTTATTATAGTTAATTCATCAGTAGTTAATTTAAAGAAAATTTACATAAAATTAATTAAAACTATAGTTAATAATTTAGATAAATTAAAATATACTTATATAATTAAATATAACTGTGATACATTTGTTGAACGTAATTAAATTTACTTTTCACCATACACATTAAGATACATAATTGCAATTAAAGTCATGATGAACAACAACATCCAGAATGAACAAAGTAAGTTAAATTGATTAAGGTTAGTTTGTATTTTAACAGCAATTGCGGCTAGTACTTCCGGTGAATCCAATTTATAGGACTCATTGTCATTTAATTGACTGTTGATTGGTTTAATTTTTACATTTTCATCGGGTTTTATTCGAACCATGTTGACGTATTTGTGTTCTTAAAATGTAATAAAAATAGTTTGTTAGTGAATTTTTTGCTAAATATAAAAGTTTTAAAAAACATGTACGCATACTGTATTATTGATTAGCTTAATAATAAGTTTATTTATTATAATAATTTGAAAGACTATTGCATAAAATTGCGTTATTATGTACGATTTATAATGTTTATAAATTTCCCAATTTTATAATAAATTATAATTTATTATAATATAAGAACCTTAATTTACTTTCTTATATTGTTTCTCACAGTTGTTTAAAAAATGGTTACCTATATTATAAAAAGTTGTTACCCAAGTTTAAATAAATTTTGCAAATATTATATAATAATAATAATAATAACATCATTAAAATAATCATAATTATTATTTTAAAACTATTGATTAAAATAAATACAACTTTTTGACATTTTCTTTATAAATATCTCAAGTAACTAGATTATTTTTATTTTTAAAAGCTTTAGCAAATTCTACGTCAATTACATTTTATCAAAATTAGAAATTATTTATACTTCATAATGAACAATATAAAATTGTTTATTGTGACACTAATTATAAGAGTTTATCGTAAGCAATTTTTAAACTAATTATATATGACAAAAAATAATGCATTAATATAAACAAAATAGATTTTAAAATATAAATATAATTAATTTAATTATTTTAAAAGTCACTTACAGTCAAACCACGCGCGATGAGTGTTACTCTAATTGGGAACCCTACTTGGATGATAAATGTTTTAAAGCTTGGTCAATTACACATGATTACGAAACAGCTAGACGTGGTTGCGGCGAATATTTTGCCACACTGCCCATCATACATTCACAAGCTGAACAGGACTTTATAACCAAGCTAGTTTATGAAAAATACAACATAACAGACGGGGTATGGATTGATGGCCACACAAACAACGCAAATAGCACACAAATATCTTGGTCAGATAAATCCGCTTCAGATTACAAGAATTGGCTACCTGGTCACCCTAATAACAAATCTGGTCAGTGCGTCCAGTTGAACCCTAGTCAAAATGATCAAGGTAAATGAGTAGATGTTAATTGTACCAGGTCCAACGCGTTTGTTTGCCAAACCTACATGATATGGTCACCAAAACGCGAGCATCAAATTATCAAGGACATTAAAACTGAACTAGCTGACACACGAAAATTATTAGCTAGCACAATAAACAAATTGGTAGAATTGGATAATAACCAAGTACCTGTTGGATTTATTTATGTACAGTTTGCCCATCAGACCGCACCGCACAAATTATGGCCTATGTATAAGTGGGCTAATATTACCCCAAAATATGCAGGGTTATATTTTTGGGCAGATGGAAATAATAGTTTAATTAAAGATGTACAAAGTAGTAATTTATCTAGTTTAAGCAAAGTCTGTGTTAATACAGGTGAGTATTGTTCCGAAAATAATCAATATTATCTAGATTTTTATCAAGTGAACCGTGAGCTGAATCCTGTCAATCAAGGTGTTTGCATTTATAAGCGTATAAAATAAACATGATTTAATTAACAAATGTTTTATAAAATTGATAATTGTAATAAACTTATTTTAAATTACTTTATCTAGTTTTACAATGAAAAATAAGCAGTAATGTTTATAAATAATGAAAGTTTCATATATAAATGATAATGTATGTGAATAATAACTTATGTGGGATAACTATCTTATAATTTTAACTTTACTATAATTATTAGTTGTAAACAAAACACTTGCAACGTTCAAGTGGTCGCACTGTAAATGATTAACATTAATTAAAGTAATCTTTGATTTAGCTATTATTGTAAATCTGTTTAATAATTAATAGTTAATTAAAAGTAAAGTCCATTTATATAATTTATTGTTAAATAAAATAATATTTAGCAATTATAAGACAAATTTAATTACCAACAAGGCTATCTTAGTGTGTGACATGGTTTATTACAAAATAATTATTCTTAAATTAAAACAGACATGATCTATAAATATTAATTTATAAAATGAATTAATAATTAATTTACACAATTAAACAAACAACCATAAACAGATACTTATTTCCTGATCACCATAGTTAAATTATCGTTATAGCTACCAATAATGGCAAAATATATAACACATAGCTGTATTTTTAACTTTAAAAAAACTGTAATAGGAAAATATAATAATAATTCAATTAATGAAAATAGTTATTTAATTTAACTTATGACAACAAGGGCATCATACCTTATTCTTTGGTACATAATTGATTTTTACTAGTTATCTTTACTAGTTAAAATACATAATTTCTATTCTTTCTGAATATTTATAATTATATTGTATTTTCAAAATAAAATTATTATAAATTTTCTAGAAATACACATTTATGGTTAATTACATTTAAATATATTTTTATATTTTTAAATATTGTCAATCTTTATAAATTAATTTAATAACTAGAAATACAGATTAAAATAATCTATTTGACTATAATAAACACTTATAATAAAAACTATAATTGTAATCTTATAAATAACAGGTAAGTTGTTTAGAAAACTCTTTAGTTTCCTATGAAATCAGTAGACCATGAAAATTATCATAATATTTCTACCTTGACATTTGTTATATTTTAATCAATTTCATATAGTCTACAAGTATAAATAGAATTGATAATTATATTTATAAAGTTTACTTAGCACATTTATTGTAAAATATATAAAATAAAAATGCAAATTCTGTATTTGTGGGCTTTGGTCTCATGCCTAACATGTAAGTATAAATTAATGTAATATATAAAATATTATATTAATATTGTATTTGTATTTTAAACAATTTAATTAAAATGTAAAAACACATAAAAATTAATAAATAAAAGTACCAATATGTTAAAAATTAATAATTAAATTATGACCAGGGGCATCAATAAATGGCGACAGCATATGCGGCAAGGGTGATGCTTGGGAAATATTCCACGACGAGTACTACGATATATGCTACATATATCTAAAAGAGCTAGGTCTAGCTGACTACGCCACTGTGGCGGCAGCGTGCGCGGCACACGCAGATGGCATGGCTACACTACCCACCGTACACACAAAGGCCCAGCAGGACTTTTTGACCCAGTCACTATTCACCAAGCACGAAATTGTTAATGGCGTATGGATGGACGCCCAGGTAAACAAAAAAGCAGTGACCTGGGCCGATGGCACCAGCCCTAATTATGACAACTGGGTAGAAGGCAGACCTATTGACGTGGCTGATGAGTGCGTGGAAATGGTACCTGACAAAGCGCCGGGTAATATGGGTAAATGGCTAGATGGCCCGTGTTCAAAGAAAAATGAGGTTGTATGCGAGAAGGTTGTTTTGTGGTCGGCGCAAAAGACCCAGCGCATGATCGCTGATAATCGTAGGCAAATTAAAAAGCCTTAATAATGTGGCTAGTTTGTATGATTTTGGTTGTTTTGTAAACACGTTAAATAATATTAAATTGTTGTATTAAATTATTTAATAAAAGTTTGTTTTTATCATTTGTGTTTATTAGCAAATTGCAATGTTATAAAAATATATTAACAATTATGATAAGTAATCTGGGTATAAAATAGGAAAACTTATTTTAATAATTAATAGTATATTTATATTAATTAAACTTATATTACATACTGTTCAACGGATGCATTAATAAATAACCAGGGTTAAAATACAAATTAAATTTACATTAGTAGAGGTAAGGGAGTCTGTTCAATCACCAATCAATGAGCTTCTAGGAGGCTTATAGGCGGGGCTTACAAATTTAATAAATTTATCCCCCCACCCCCGTTTTATGATTTTTAAATTATAGCACACGTTAAGTTTTTGTTTTTTAAATCTTTTATTAAATATTATAGTAAAATAATACATTAAAAATAATTATATATTATAATAAAAAATATAAAATGTGTTTAAATATAATAAGACAAATAATTATAAATAGTTTTAATTAGTTGTATTTGAAGAGATAATTGGAGTAACAATTGGTGCAAGATTGCCATCATCAGTAGAGTGTTGATTAATCATAGCATTAATCATGGCACTATCTTCATACTCATCTTCGGACTCTTCGTCACTTTCTTCTTCAGATGTCTTTTCAGCATCGATTTCAGCCATTCGCTCAATAATTGAATAGAATGTATTGTAGTCCTTTTTAAGTTTAGCCAACTCTGACTTGTAAAGAGTAATTTTTCTAGATTTGCGCCCAACTATTTGGGTAACAACCAAACCTCCTGCGATACTAGCTGGATGAACTTGAAGAATTCGTCCGCTTCTTTGTGATTTTAATTCGTTGTCTACCTTTGATTTTCTTCTCTTCATATATAAGATATATTTGGCCAACCAATCATATTCATAACTAGTTAAACAAATTCCTGATTTTTGAGGCCTACCATTATAAGTACCGCGAATATCAACGAGCAAAAAATTAGGTGTATCGATATGATGCTTAATTGTAAGTAATTTTTTAGAGCCAAATTTGTCGATTTCAGACAACGTATCACTGAAAATATCCACAAATTGTGAAGTTTTAGAAGTCAAAATAGACATTTTGTTAAATTGAAGGCTTATTTTTGCGACCAAACACAACGAACACAAGAAGTAAAGTGAAAAAATCTGAATTAGGTGATTAGAAAGTGAAGCTTTTTTAACGCATGAGTATTAATCAGTGTAGTTTCCAATAGTCAGCGATTGGCACGTATCCAAGTTACTGTAATCTGGGAGTGGTTGAGGGCGTAATGATATTTCTTTTAAGAACCAATCGTCAAATTCTCTGAATAAGTAATATTCATGGCTGCCTTCACTCTTTTTACTGTAATTCTTTAGTCTTACAAGAAATCTGCGTATATCATTAATTGAATTAATTACACCAATTTTGTCGTCCTTATTAAAAGTAATAGTTTTTCTGAATACAGCAGGGAATTTGGTGTTTTCGTCTTTGAATGCCAAAGTCAGAAATTTTTTAAATTTGACTTTATTATTGATCCAATTCCATATATTTACAGACTTTCGCAATGAACATCGAGTTAGATTAGAAACGGAACTCTTCCCTAACATACTGTGCAGTAAGCAGTACGAATTTGATGGCCTACAATATTTATCAAAATACTGCAAAGAAGGACAAATTTCGTTTCCAAGTTTAATCTTTTCTAAATTCACATAAGGTATATTTTGCGAATCTAAAATTTTTGACAATTGCTGGTTTTTAATAGCAATTAAATATTTGTCTTGTGTAGCAACTTGGTTGTATGCCTTTTTAACAAATTCTCCAAAATCTTCTCTTTCAATAATTTGCTGTACTGAATTGTCGATTATTCTTTCTATTGGAAGTCCATGTATTTTCTTTTCTTGAAATGCAAAGTGTCGAAAACTTTGCATTTTAATTTCTTCTGGAATATGAGAGTCAATTTCTAGACAAATTCTAACATCGTTGTTAGCAATTGCAAATTCACGAGGATAAAATATTGATTCAATATAAAATCCTTGGACATCAAACACAGCACAAATGTGATACTCAGCACTCAACCACTCGTCTAAATCCATTTTCAACTGAACACTACAATTCATGTTTAGCAACTGAAAAGTTTTTGAACACTGCTTTCATTCGTTTATCGTTGTCAGAATAATTGTTGCTAAAGTTAGAGATATACGTCTGCGTGGAAATGTTTTGGCAACGATGTATAATGTAAAGTACACAGTAATGGCCACATGTGTCTGACGTAATGTGTTGTATAGTTATTTTGTTATATGTCCATCCTCTCGTACAGTTATTTTCTAAATATTTAAATATTTCGTCTTTTAAAGGAGGAAGTCCAAACGAGTCAAAGTATTCCCCAAAACCATTTTTATTTATCGTTATGGCGACCCAATGTTCCCCGGGCATATACGATGGATCAGTATTGATTATGACATTTACAGGAAGAGTTTTAAATACAGGGATATGATCACAACTATATACACCTTTGAAACATTTGAAATTTTTTAAAAGTTTACGGATGATTAATGTATCCATTAGTTGAATGTGTAAATAGGATTTCGTTCGTTGTTAATCTCTAATAGTGTATCGTATTCTAAATATACCAGAACTGTTATTGGTTTAGGAAGAGCTTTTTTAAATCTCAAGTGTAAACGAAGTGACCCAAATTTAACTGGATTAACATAACCAGTTGTACAGCAACCAGAAGACAAATCCGGAGCAAAATTGATTGCAAATATATTATTGCCTTTAGGAAAATCTTCACGTTTCAATGTAATGCAACTGTCAACATTATCTTGATTTGTAGCCTCAAATAAACTTAAATATTCTCTTATGTAAAGTCCGTTATCAAAATCGGGTGTGAAGGCCTTTTCTGGATATTGGATTCCGTTCAAATAAAACGCCAAATAATTTAAATCGAAATGTTGGTAGTTATAAGGATTTAATTTATGGGATCCATTAAAAGCAGAATGGTCCACCATAAATACAAAAGCTCTTTTAGGAAGTTAGCCACAATGAACATTGTCAATTATTGTATCCATTGTATCTTTAGCAACAGTTATAGGTATAACAAAGCTTTCTCTTAAAGGATATTTTGCAGTAGCTTTTTCAAATGCTTTTGTTTGGCCTTCAAGTATTGATTGCGATATTTTTGACCTATGAATATATAGGCATGCTTCATTAAATTCAACACTTGTCACTTTAATTCCTGTCTCATGCATAAGGTAAAATGACGAGTCGATTGGGAGCAATTTGAGGGAAAAATTACAACCGCCAGGTAACGCTCGACTTTGCTCGAACATTGCTAAATGTATTTTTCCCATTAAATCAAATTGTCTTCCATGTGTAAAATCTGTAGTCGTTCCTGATGGTGGAGCTATTATTTTACTTCTTAACTTATTTATGCTTTCGAGGTCGTCTTTGTCGTCTTCAATCCATACAATTGAAGTCAAATACGACTCTTTTGCATCTTTACTTTTTCCGATTTTTATTTCAATGTCAGATTTATATCCATATGTTTGATGAGGCTGTGAAACAATTTTATCACCAATTGTAAAATTCGCTTGTTTAAATAAAGAATTCAAAAGATTATTTGTTGGTCCTATTTTTTCCCAATCTTTAGCGTCGGGTTTAGCTCCCAAATGTTTTTCAATATTAATAGTGACTTTCATATGTAATGTTGATTTATCCAGTCTAATACACTCATCGATTCCAGAAGATACATTAAACTCAATAGGTGCTTTAGAATCTAAAGCTGATATTGGCCTGTGCTCAGTCCATATGCCTTGGTCAATTGTTGTTTGTGTAGGAGGCACAGCAAAAATGTCAAATTCATTTAATGCTGTTAAACTTGACAATTTGTGTATTGCAGCCATATTAAAAATCAAAATTGAATTTTCTACGTCGTGATGTTGTTCTCTTTCTCTTAATTGATTGTTTACGTTTAGAAGCTTTTTTCTTAACTGTGCGTTTACGTTTAGGTTGTTTCTTTTTCTTTATACGTTTGATTTTCTTAGGAATAATTGGTTTGATTGATTTGCGCCTGCGCTTGCGCCTTCCTTTTCCGGTCTGTGCAAATGTCTTAGCTCTATCGGCTGCATCGTTTAACATAGAATAACCAGCGTTTTTTATTCTTTTTTTGGCTGACTCTTTTACATTTTCACCATCCAATATATCTTTACCAAATTGGACACCTGTTGAAAGAACCTGTTTTCCAAAATATTTCCCTAAAGGTTTTAAAATATTATTGAACAAGTTTCCAAAAAATCCATGACCACGTTGATATCTATAGCCTTGGAATTCTGTCAAACCACTTCCGGCTTGTTTGCATAATAAGCAACATATGGGTTAGTCATAGTTTTTTAAAATCAACTTTGCTCGTGACCGTCCAAATTGAAATGGCACTTTTGATCCTTGATCATCTTTTATATCAATGTCGATATTGTCAAATGTGTTTGACATTAGTGGAACAAAATGGGGATTATTGTACGGAATTGTCACATGATCACCAAAGTTTGTATTATTGGGGACTTCAATTTCTCTTAATAATTGATTTAAGGTATCACCAACATAACTATGAGCTACAATATTACTATATAAATATAATTCGTGTAATCCACCGTCAATTTCAATGCAACGATTTGCAACTACTTCTGAAGATCTGACAGCTAGTAATGCATTAGCCATACCATCTGCAATTGGCTTATGTGGGGCAGTTAAATAGTATGCTTTAAGATAACTGTATAAACTAATGCCATTCTCGTCTTCAAAACCAAGCATTTTATCAAGCTCACATAATCGAGGGTAATACTTTAATTTTCTTCCTTCGAGATTAATTAATCCAGGTTGCAGTGATATTTTATGTGTCAAAATATCATATTTGTATACAGGCTCTCTGGCGCTGCATGGTTTTAAGGGCTTTAATAGT